TGCGCTAAATGCGGGGGATGTGATTGTTGGGAAGCCCCGTTAGTGGGGAATCCCTCAGCGCCCGTAAGGATGACTCATTCTTAATTCGCAGTGAACAATAAATTTAAAAAAAGTGAAGTAGAAACGAAAAAGATGCTACTACTTTTATGCTACACAGACGTTGTGCCAACGTTAACGGTGTTTTGGTTCGTTTTCGGAGATTAGTTTCTTGCTGATTTTGCCATCTAGCATACTTTGCGACGTATAAGCGAGCGGATTTCACAGTATTGCTATGTTTTTGGGGGTGTGCATTGTTAGGGCAGGGGGAGACGTGAATGAGAATGGTAAAAATAAGCAAATCCAAAACTCATTGTACCTGCTTCGTTTCACACCCTTTTGTTTGTTTTACGCATTCAATTGAGTGGGGACGACAAGGCTGTCTCGTGTCGGAACGCACCCCGTTTTTTGAGAATGCTGCCGGGAGTAGAAAGCAACAAAGGTCGTACGCTCAAGAGCATATGTCATAGGACGCAATTGTGCCTGCATATTTGTGAAATATATAATATACAGTGAAGCACTTAAGTTGGACCAAATAATATTTATTTTAGTGTTAAAGTTGAGTACTTTGCTCAAAGTAAAAGAAAGTTTACTCTTCTAAACCCACATCCAGAGCATGTATTCTTAAATTTATCAATAAACGAATGAATGAATTAGTTTTTTTTAAATAATTTGAAAGTTATTTTCCCCACTAAGCCATTACTGAAATATTTATGTAAATATTTTATGAGATAAATTGTTATACATTGAAATTACTGTCTTCGAAAATAGAAGTAGCTTTTATATTTGTTGTTGATTTAAGCAAGTTCAGCGCTACGCACTTAGTTACGTGATATAATTTCTGTAGATATTCCTGAAAGTGTTAGCTAGGAATAACGGGACACAGAACATGATAACATAGGCTTGAAATTAAACATTCGTGCTATCTTTTTAAATTGGGTGCAATTTTCATATAATTTGAAACCAAAAGTATGGTGTACTAATAACTTAAGCGATCCACTGTATGTATGCATAGTATATATGTAAGTTTGTTGGGATGCTACGTTCTGTCGTATGGCCCTTTTTTACCTCATCCCACTGGTATCCTCCTGGGGGTGAGGGTCGTTGGAAATTGATGATATTCTAAAATGTACATTTATTACTACTTTTATTGTGACGAGCGCGCCATGCTGCGTCTACTTGAGGGCTAAATTGTTATGAAAGTGTGAGTAACGTTATGCAATTGCAACAGAACTTGGTCCAATGAAAACCTCCAGCCGAAGCAGCACTAAATATGTGAATGCCTATAAACGTAAGGTGGATGACGGTTGATCGGAGCCTTGAAAACAGGAAATTTAGCAATTGACAGCGGTCATCTGGTCAGTTTTGAAGTGAAAAAATAATAACAATTCTTTAATTATACAATTTTCGAACGCTTTTTTTTTTTAATTTGAGTAATATACAAAATTTAAATCAACAGGTCATATTCTTTTACCAGTATCTCCTAGTCCTTCCTCTTCAAATTTACTTCTATGCATGAAAATGCTGTGTTGTATCTCTTTTGCATTTCAATTAAATTTCGGTTGATTTTTTTAATTACAAGGTGGATTTATAGAAAATATAATTTTGAGACAAAGCAATTGGCGTCCCTATCTTTCACTTTCTTTCACTTTCTAGCGATGCATTGTTAAAATAATTAGTTAGAGGTGTGGAGCCCAGAAAGACTGTTAAGTGTACGATATTTAAATAATGACAAAAGCACGATATGACCATAAAGATATTATTTTAGCAAACATTATATCGAAAATTTTCATTTTTAATACCTCAAAATAAGGTGCAATTCTTTAAAAGAACGAAATTCTAAACTACGAATCACTTTTGCTAATTTTTTTTTATCATATTCCAAAATTGTTCCTAAATATATTGCGACATTCCTTATTTCCTTAAATCTGTCCGTGGAAGCGATACATTGAGTAAATATTCAGACTTCTTGATAAAACACCTTAACACCACGAGAAGGTTGGTATTGCAAATAACACTTTTGCTTTCAAATTGCGTTCTTTTGATGGATTAAGTTTTAAACTGCCCGGATTGTCACCAACTTTCACCACTGTGCAAGTGCAGATCTATCATTACATTGAGTCACTTTTCCCAGGATTTTTTGCAGGTGTATTTTATAAAAAATGAAATGAATCGGCGCTGTCAGTATATCAAATAAGTCGTAAAAGATATAGTATTTAAAATTCAATGAATTTTGTACAGACGCAATTACTTAATGAATATATTTAAAAGTGCAGCAGATAACTGGCCTTCTGATAATTACAAAGTTCATTCATATTGATCGGAGTCAAAGTGGCGAACATGGGCGTCGTTATTATGTTACTGATGACCCATATTCTTCACAAAACATAGTGATACGATAAAGGCGTAACCGATACTCATAAATGTTATGATGCGTTACATTCTTCTTCTTCAGCCGAGTTAACACAGCGCGCCAGCCGTTTCTTTTTTTCGCTACGTGGCGCCAATTGGAGATTCCATACGAGGCCAGGTCCTTCTCCACCGGAGTAAAGGTCTTCTTATGCTTTCCCCGGCGGATACTGCATCGAATACTTTCAGAGCTAGAGTGTTTTCGGCCATCCGCTAGCTTTTAATCTGCTGAACTATGTCAATGACGTCGTATGTCTCATACAGCTCATCGTTTCATCGAATGAGATCGTGGCCAACGCGCAAAGGACCATACATCTTTCGCAGAATCATCAGTCAGGAATAATGGGTGACTTGTACAGTTTTGTTTTTGTTCGTCGAGAGAGGACTTTTCATCTCAATTGCCTACTTAGTCCGAAGAAGCGCCTGTTGACAAGAGATATTCTGCCTTGAATTTCGAGGCTGATGTTGTTTTTAGTGTTGAATGTGGTTCCATGATAGACGAAATTATCAACGATTTTGAAGTTATGACCTTATCCATTCTGAAGAAAGCAGAACTAACGTTGTCAAAGCCAATGATATCAATATAATCGGCGTACGCCAGCAGCTGTACACTCTTATTAAAGATTGTACCTGTTCGATTAGGAAGTCGCACGAAAAGGAGTCGCCTTGTCTGAAACCTCGTTTGGTATCGAACGACTCGGGGAGGTCCTTCCCGATCCTGTCGGAGCTTTTGGAGTTGCTCAGTTTACACAGTCATGTTAGTTTTGCGAGGATACCAAATTCAGACGTAACATCATAAAGGCAGCTCCTTTTCGTTCTGTCAAATGCTCCTTTGAAATCGACGAATCAGTGGTGCGTGTCGATTCTCTTTTAATGGATCACGTCTAAAACCACACTGATAAGGTCCATTCAGTTTGTTGACGGTGGGCTTTAATCTTTCACACAATACGTTCGATAGAACCTTATATGCGATGTTGAGAAGGCTTATCCCACGGTAGTTGGCGCAAATTGTGTGGACTGGGCAGATCATACTTAAATTCCAATCGTTGGGCATGCTTTTGTCCGACCAYATTCTACAAAGAAGCTGATGCATGCTTCTTATCAGTTCTTCGCCACCGTGTTTAAATAGCTCGGCCGGCCACTGGTTTCCGTTGCAAATGTACCTAAGAAGCTTGAAATGCCATCCCACAGTTTCCTTACACCGAGTTGTTGACGAGTGCAGCTTCTCAACTTCGCACCTTCCTTGTGTTTGTTGACGTGCGTTTTTAGCTGCACAGAGGCGGGTGGGTATCAAGATGGTGGTCCGAGTCGATGTTAGGACCTCGGAGCGTACACACGTCTAAAACACTCGAGACGTATCTTCCGACTAGCACAACATGATCGATCTGGTTGGTGGCTTTTCGATCCGGAGACAGCCAACCAGCTTGATGTATTATTCTTTTGCTGGAATATAGTACTACAGATAACCATATTTCGGACCACGGCGGGGTCGATCAGCATCAACCCATTTTGGGGGGTTTCATCGTGGAGGCTGAATTTACCGACCGCAGTGCCCTGCGCGATTTTAATATCGTGGCGGGGGCAGCTCTCATAGGCGCTCCAAACGCTCATAGAAGGCATCTTTGGTCACATCGTCCTTCTCTTCCGTCGAGGCATGCGCAGATCAGCGATTGTGACTAGACTTTCATCCATCGGGGTGAATGAAAGTACTCGGCGACGGAGTCTCTCCTCCTCCATGAATCCCACACCAAATTTGCTCTCCTTTATATGGCCACTGTAGTAAAGGCCACAAAATGCCACAATTCTAGGACGGCAGTGATGTCACTTCACTCTAACGAGGACATCAACCAGCTAGGCAGCGGCAACGTCCCAATTAAGGGACCGGACATTCCAGGTCATGCCCTCAAATCGTAGTCCTTAATTCGTTTGCAACGAAACAGCGTGGCGGCTGCTTGCCTTTCCATTACAAGAAATATAAGTATATGACTGTCATACGAAGATTGCCTTTTTATATTTCGGCACGTGACCACACTATTGTTGCAATCTGCTCACAACTTTATCAAAAATGTTTTAACATAATATCGCTATATATGTTGTTTACAGTTACTTAAAATATTCATCTCAAATAAAAAATAGAGTTAAGTCGCTAAAATTAATGCGCGATTATTTTTTGCAACCCTTCAGTGTAGATTAAATAGGCAACTGTGCATCGATGAAATTAATTCAGTTTTTGGCAACGAAGCTTCCTTACTTGTTTAACATGGAATTTTGCAACACCTTAAAATATTCGGTAACTCCCGAACTAAGACTAAGTTTATCGTTTTGTAAACTTAGACTAAGTTTATCGTCACATAAAGTATCTTTATATGGAGAAACATTTTCAAAAGTCCTTTTTTCTGATATGAAAAAGTTTAATATAATCCAGCCAATAGTGTTGTATGTATACTTGAATAACCCTTAAATATTGCTTCATGTAATTATTTTATTGATTGTGTCCATAACTTCCAAAAGTTTGCTTATATAATATAATAACAATTTTTTTATTATCATTGCAGATCGGACAAATCCTGAACCCTTGGAGATATGTCGTCACTACCCACCAAACTACGAAGTGGAATCACTTCCGTCTTATACCATTGTCTCAGGGTTGCCAACCTACGATGACGCTTTGGAAGAGTTTCGAAAAGCGGGCATTATTCTAGCTCCACCCATGCCAGTGGTGAAGATATTCGAAAAAGATCCAGCGGCCGCTGACAATGCAAGCAAAGAGAATCAAATTTTCAATATGGAAAGTGGCGTGGGTACCGACAACGACAACGTCTCAGTAACTTCGACCTGCACCTGTGGAGCGGCAAACAATACAAATTCTAACAATACAAACCCGATATACACTGTGCCATCGCCACTTGCACCACAAGTCATCGAACTATCACCCGAACAATTGGCGGCACTGTCACAAAAACGTCTTTCGTTACAAATAACCTTTAACAATTCCGTGCGTCGCAATTCCCGCCCCCGTGGTATCGATCTCTATCGTCAGGTGAATCGTAATAACTTGCTGCGCTCACAAGCTGTTGCTGCCGCCGCTGCTGCCCGCGACGGGTTCCCACAAATTCACCGCTCATCGTCGACGCTGACTTTGTCCAATGAACCGAATATGCTGGATCGACATCTTATGCAACACCTGCAGCACCGAGGCTCTCTTTATTGAGACCCTGAGAAGAACTGCATTCATTGCAAATCCGTCGCTAAGAATATACCATTATTAACTATACTTATACGAATATAAATCATTATTGAACTGTTCTTACTTGTATACACACACGTTAATACGTTAAATGTAAAAAATTCTCTTACAATTAGTATTTTAAATGTAGATATGAACATTTAGTTTAAAGCAACAGTAAAAACATATGCATATTATTATGTAGAAGTAATACTGTAAAAAAATGAGTTAATAAACAATATACAAATATGTATATTACTATAAGAACACCCATATGTATCTCTAATTTTGATAGAAAGACTATATTTTTAAAAGCACCTCCTGAGAACCAGCTGGAGTTTCATTCTGCTTGGACAAAATGATTTCTTTACTTATAAGTTCTATAGAACAGACCATTTGAGAAAATCTTAACAATTTTTGTTTCATAATTTTGCAAAAAATATAGACCCATCAACATTACAGAGCATAGAACAACAAAAGCGATGAAATATCCCAAATAAATTGGAATCAAACAAAACAAAGGAACTGCCTGTTTCGGAATTTCCTAATATAGCTCTTGAACTTAGTTTCAAAACTTTTAAAACATAGAAATGGATGGCTTGGAAAAATCACGAAATCCGTCAAAATCCCTTGAAAGGAAGTCAAAAGAAGTCACCAAAATTTATTAAGAAGAATTAAGCAATTATTTCCTCAATATAATAAATATAATAAGTACTTAGTAAAGAAATAAGAAAGTTGTCAAAACCAAGTAAAAGAAATAGTGTGGATATTAAACACTTAGAAAAAAAACAATTTCTCAAGGTAAATTGTTTGAATTTTATTGAACCATTTTGTTGTTAAAAAGGGGGTTTGAATTGATTACACCGAGAACAAATTAAACATCAATAATACTACGATTTGTGGTGTACATCTATGTTGCGTGTTTCTGGAGAGTTCATCCAATTCTACGCTAATAAGCATTCAATTCAATAAAAAATTAACTAAGTATCAGAAATTTAGTATTTTCTGGAAACAAGACCAATGAGTCGTGATGATTGATGTACGATATATTAGCTGTATCCCATAGAGCTCTCACATACCTTGCATTTGATACAAATATTTAGCATATTAATTTGTAGGAGGAAGTGTTTCATAAACGGTAGAAAGGATAATCCTTCTTAAACATATGGTTATATTATTATCACATAAGGATTCTCTCTCAGTCTCCATAATATACATATCTCATAGATTGACCAATATTGGCAATATGCACTGGGTCCCACATATTCAGCACCTGGGGGCTTGAATAGTTTTGGCCGATTTGAATAATTGTTGCACATAAGCTGGAGCATTTCAAATAGAGTATTCGAGCAATGTTTTATCCCGATACATTCATTGTTGCTTAAGGTAGTAGTCTGGTAACTTGGGTTAAAAAATTGAATTTTTTTTTTGCTTAATTTGAAAGTACGTATGGCTAGAGAATATACTGTGAAAATTTCAGATAGAATTCGAAATATTTCGGCAGTTATAACGAGTTTCATAGAGCGCATAAGAGTCCAACTTTTAAGGTCGACTGAACTTTAAACGCGTTTTTCTCAAAACATTGTTTTTCTGGTACCGATTGCTTTCAACTTTTAACAGTCTGTTCTACGACTTTATAGTTCTTGTCGGTACTAACGACATTTTTTTTATCCCTAACTTCTTATTTGACAACCCTTTCGTTGCTAAAATAAAAGGAATTTTTTTCAAAGTCCGCCATTATGTTATTTACACTTGAAATTTAACTTCAGTAGTTCCAACCAGAATGACATGTCTATAGATTAAGAATAATCAAGAATATTTGATTTCAGATAACATCAAGAGAAAATCAACCGGACCACGTGCATTTTTTTTGAGGTTCCAACTTCGAGTGACAATATTAATAGTAATAAAGCATTAAATTTTTTCAAATACATTTTTTTATATGTTCAATATGTAAATAAAAACACTCTAAATATTCAAGATAATTCATTTTTATTTTCGTATAAAAAAGCACACTCCAACGAAGTCATGAAAATAGGCATAAGTTACCAGACTACTACCTTAACTTGTATACTGGAAAGTGAAAGAACAGGAGCAGCAACAAATGTTAAGTATGGTAAATGGCAACTAACAATTGCAGGTCCCGAGATATTGATTTTAACTAAAAGATGTGGCCCTGCGCCCAAATGTCAAATTTTGACACTGCTTCCTTTAAATCCCTCTTTTTATAAGGTATATGGAAGCTAAGAGAAGTATTGTCCCGATTCCACGCATTTTTAACACCAAACATACTATTATCAGGGAAGAATTTTCCTGAATTTCAATTACTTATCTTACACATTGCCCGGGAGTTGATTGGATTTGAGCAATTTATGCAAAGTTTCATCCCGTTATAATGTTTTCTTTTTGATTTGTGCACTGGAAACTGAAAGAATCAAATGGCATTTCAAATTGTGTTATATGGGAAGTAGGCGTGGTTGGAGTACGATTTAGCCCATTTTTGCACTGTAATGTAGAATTGTCACAAATTAGGTTAAAATCGGTGCCGGTTTATTCTGGCTCTAATGTATCAAGTTTCATCACGGTATCTCAATTTGTTACTCAATTTACAGCTTGCGCAAACAGCCGGATGGACAGCAGACCTCCCGATTTCAACTCGTATCTTCTTCCTCATCTTTTATATGCTTATATAATATATATAAACCATTCATCTCGATTAGTTTTAGGTGATAGCAAAAACCGTTAGGTGAACAAAACTATTATACTTTGTATAAAAAGAAACTGGAGTTTCACAACAATAACGTCCTTTCGGCTACAACAGTTGAACTGTTGGTAATAAGTTAAAAGCTCTGAAGAAAGTAAAAAACAAATGCAACAGTTATACAAAATTTGAATAAGGCATGTACATAACATAATGTGTACAAGAAATGCGCATGCTCCTATAAGAAATCTTGCAAATAAACAGAGGGTTTGTGTCTTAGGTGCACATCCTTCCTAAGGCATTCACCAATGGTTATGGTATGTTCTAAATGTGCATTTCGTAGCCTTGGACGCACTGAAAATGGTTTCAGGATTTCTTAGAACTTAAATATAGAAAACACTTGACAGTACCACAAAGTGTAACATATTCACAAGTATTTAACTTAAGCTTATTTCACAAAAAAAAAGTAAACGATTCATGTATTTGTTTATATTAACCCGTCTACTATATGTTGTTTTTTATTTTTTGATCTTGAACAGAATGAAGCCACTTGCTTTACATATGGTACATATACAGTTGCGGTCAAAATAATAGTAGTGCGCACAATGTAGAAAATAAATAAAGATAATGGCGAAATTTTATTAGCCAAATGTTTACATTGCTTTTTATTTTACTAAATTATTCTATTTACATGTTATTCATGAAAGGAAACTTACGAAATTAGTTCATTTAATATTACTAAAACTCAATTTTGAAAGGATATACATGCTACTATGAGCAAAAAAAAACAGCAAGACTTTGTTCATAATTGTAGAATTCTTAATTTATTCTCCAAAATCTATAGTTTGTCGTCTCCTTCAAAGTAATCCACCTTGGTCCCAAAAATTAGTAAATTGTCTCAAAACGGGTTTTCCGGAGCGGTCGTTTAAATTTGCTGAATAGCCAAAAGTCACACGGAACTAAATCGGGCGAATATTGGTAGAAGATATGACGAAAAACTCACAAAAAATCAATGCAATATGCACCGTAATGAACCATTGTGCAAAAAAATACGAATAAAAACGATATAGTATTCCTTGTTGACAGTTTGGTCGGTCGGAAGGAATTCGGAGGGCTCCAAACCTCGATAATCGAATAAAACGGTCAACATAAACTTGATTTTTGACGTGGCTTTTTCGGCTTCGGCTCCCCTTTGCCACGATATCGGCTGATTGATCGTCTCTTTCCGGGTCGTAAGCATAGATCCAAGCTCAACTGAGTAAAAACTTTGTGATAATAATTTAAATTTTAAAGATTTCCATGGCATTAACTTAAGTATTTTCACATCGTTCCTCGAGTATTTATTTCCATGCAAGTTAATACCACCAGTTCATATTTTATTTTTCATAAATATGTAACATCATTGTACTTTGCTAATACGGTCCGCCTTAAGTCCCATGATGTAATTCATAGATTATAAGATGAACCTTTCCACTCATAACATATGGTCTATCTTGAGTGGACACATATCATATCTGCAATACTTCTTGCAATGTAAGAGTAATATTTGTATCTAGGCTCAAGAAAAATATTGTATTTAAGGAAAGAAAAAATAAACGAAGGAGTTGCCCGTAGTTGCCCACGAAACATAAATCCAACTATTAATTTGCACGCTCAACAGTTTCCCAAATTTAATTATTATTAGTTGGATTAGCATCGGAATGTGCATGTCACTCCATGATTCCTATTTTGCTGAAAACACTGCTGAGCTAACTTGCTTTTGTACTTTAGGTCATTATCTTGTTGAAAGACAAAAGGCAAAAGTATTTCCGTACAAGAACTTGAGAGATTGCTCCGTTGACTTTGACAATAATCCTTGCCAGATTTCGTGAAGATATATCGTTGAAAAAAGAAAGGTTTTCATGAAGGAAATCGGTCTTGTCGTTCAGTTTATAAGGCTATAGAGCCCCCTTTATGAAAAATTAACAACTTCTTGAGGACAAAAGAAGGATCGAATATTTTCCAACCCTGGGGCACACAACATATAATTGGACCTGGAAAAACATGGATTTTACACATTTTCATTATTTGATTTTGTTATTTGTTATTCCACGCGAATTGGAATTTGTAAACATTTGGAAGGTATGGCGAATCTGAACCGCCAATTACATATACAACAATTTCGAAGTATTGAAAGTTCGTACCCAAATAATAGGTGAGCCAAAGAAAAATATTCATAACCCACACTCTGTCTCTCTGTCTTTTACCCTCTATATTGCTAAATTATTTTCAATGGAATTTAAAATGCTTTTGAGATCTGTATAGAGCTGCATTGAATTCTTTTAGAGCTAGAGCGTTTTCAGCCATTCCAACGACATGACTCTCAGTCTCTCTAGTCAGTGCGAAGTAGCACCTGTTCACAAGAGTTATTCTGCGTTGGATTTCGAAGCTGACATTGTTGTTGGTGTTAACTCTGGTTCCAACATAGACGAAGTTATGACTATCAACAGTGACGTGGGTGCTAAGTCGCGGGTGTGACGACTGTTTGATGAAAAGAGATTTCGTTTCGTCCTCGTTCACTACCAGACCTATTTGCTTCGCTTCCTTATCCAGTCTGGAGAAAGCCGAACCAAAGTTACAGAAGATTGTACCTTCTCTATTCAGCTTTGCAGCTCAAATTATTTTCTGCAGGAGTAAATTAAAGAAGTCGCACGATAGAGAGTCACCTTGTCTGAAGACTCGTTTGGTATTGCTAACAGCTAACAGTAGTCTTTTCCGATCCTCTCGGATCTTTTCGTATTGCTGAACGTCAATTTATACAGCCGTATTAGTTTTGCGGGGAAACCATACTTTCTTAATTTTAATTTAAAATTTCGATTTAATGTATTTCTTTTCCCACTACTTTTAGTGCAATTATTGTTTATCCTTATCCAGACTTACTTAAGTAAACAATGTTGCATATCTTTAGGCACGGCATAGTTAAAAAACATGTAATCGGTAGGATTCGAAATTTTCTTAGAACAATCAAAGCCATTTAAATTCGAATCGCCCATAACTGATAACTTTCACATTGTAAGTATACATACACGATGCGAAATTTACCAAGTTACAAGATACTTGTGAACAAATAGTATATATTTTTAATTTTTTTAGGGAAATTAAGTGAATAATTTCGCTATTAAATACACAAAATTACACATAGAAACACTTGGTGGTGAAATGACCAAACATAACTCCAGCAAAATAATTAGAATGAAATGTTTCGTTTCCTTCGTTGACCTTCATTTTATTTCAGATTCTTTTATAGACACAGGACTAAAATATATTTTAATACAAAAATGTTTAAGTACAAAATCAATTAGTCTTCAAATTGGGCGCCAATTACTTCTCCGAATGCGCGAATAATTCCATCAGAGTAAAAACTAATTTATTTTGCAACTGTACTTACGCTACCGATTATTTTAACTTATATTATTAATAACCTAGTGTCATAGGTTTAATTATAATTCCGAATTACAATTCAATGTGGATTTCTTAGAAAAAGTAACGAGATTTTCATAAATGAGCCAATCTTATAGCAAATTCAATTCAGGTTCTAGTTACTTGCCTTATTTAGGCACAGGGGAAGCATACTAATTTTTTTAGTAAAAAAAAACTAAAAACTGGCACACTTTTAACATATATAATTCTTATAATCTAACAATATGCTCTATTACAAGATTTACAGATTATGAAAGCAAATATAATTTAATTAGATCTTACACTATAAAAAATCGTAAGTAAAAAATTATATATTTCATTGGTCGCGACCTTACGGCCTAACTATGTCTGTAGTTTGAAAGCAGAAGCAAGAAAGCAAGAAAATACAATTAATTAGTTTCTGAACTCAACTCTAACTTTCGAATACTGCCTAGAATGCAACAATTTTTGTATTAAAGTATAAAAACTTTTTACTTATAAAAGAACTGAGGAAATAATCTATCCTGAATATTAATCCAATGTTAGACCGTAAGGACTTTGCCAAATTGAATTCATTTTTGTATAATAATATTAACGATGCTACAGCAATAAAATATTTCAATTTGAAATCTAAAAAATAATTATACATAGTTAAGTTAGCGATAACATTGTTGTGGAATTGTTACACGCCTCACTCACAGTATTCAAAATGTATTAGCAGTATTCAAAAAGAAATGTGCTTACATATCTACAAGTGTTATTGTTTTTTTATTATGTTTGCTGGTGTGAGTGCTTCTGATGGCGGTGAATGAATGGTGCATCTGTTGAAGGCCAGCGCAGCCTATTCTAAAAGAGCGAGCGAGTGAGTGGGTAGGTAGGTAAAAGTATTTTCAAACATTGGCTCGCCACCATGCACACCCACCAGTACCACAGAATAAATGGACACTCGCAAATTTTTTTGCGGAGCTAAATGTTTAATTGAAAACTGCTAATACCAAAAAAGAGAATGTGAGCATTTTTGAAAAAGTGTAACACACATAAGCAACTGAAGATAAACTAATAAAATTAACATTTTTGAAATATTTTACTAATTAAATTATCTCTATCTAACCATTTCTTATATATTATGGAAAACCGCTTCTACATATGTTTAACGCAAGTTGCCATTACTGCTAAACCCATTGGTAGCTCCAGTAGGCGTATTAGCTTTAGGATCTCCATTCAGCTGTTTTTCCTCCGATGCTATCCCTTTGCCATTTGGTTTTGCATCCTTAGCGCGTCCATTTGGCAGACGTACGGGAGTTGACGGCGATAAATATCCATTCAATTGCAATGGCTTCACAGCATTCACGAGTTTTTCGCACTCCTCGGCCGAGAGCTCTTCATCAGATGATGCATCGGAGAGCTGACGTGGAGACAAACGGCATCCACGTGCCAAATAGTTACCCAGCCGCTTCTTCGAAGCTAATATTAGCCCCAGAAATGGTGGTGATGGCTTAAGCGGCCGTGACAAGTATTCGGGATGATATTGTGTGGCAACGAAATAAGGATGATCACGCAACTCAATAACCTCCATGCGACGTTTTTCATCATCATATCCAACAAAACGCATGCCATGTTCCTCTAACGTAGGAACATATTTTGGATTTACTTCGTAGCGATGTCGATGGCGTTCATCAATCGTTTTTGGGTTGCCATAGAGCATTTTTATAATGCTTTTCTCATCCGAAAAAGTGGTTCTACGTTTACCTAAACGCATCGTGCCACCCATTTGACCAGTGTGATGTTCGGGCATATCAATAACAAGTGGATTGCCGACCTTGGGATCGATTTCCGTAGTGTTTGCGTCCTTTAGGCCCAGCACATTTCGTGCAAACTCAATAACAGCCGCTTGCAGACCTAAACAAATGCCCAGCATAGGCTTCTGTTTTTCGCGACACCAATTGCATGCAACTATTTTGCCTTCCATGCCACGTGAACCAAATCCACCTGGCACAACTACGCCATCGCTATCGCAAAGCTGCATCCAAGCCTCATGATATTTAGTAGGGTCTTTGTCACGCGTACCGGTCTCCAGGTGGCAAGCTTCAATGAATCTCAAGTTTAACTTAAATCCAGCAGCAAGTGAGGCATGTTGGAGTGCCTTCACCACGGATGCATACGAATCTTCTAAACGCGTATATTTACCCACAATGGCAATATTCACTTCCTCGCGGAGAATCTCAGAGCGGCGTGCAAGGTCCTTCCATTGCTGCAGGCATCTGTAATTCCAAAAAATATTGTAAAGCAATATTATATACCAACGAAATGGTTAGTAACTCAACATTGGAAATTTGTAGTCACTATAGGCGCAACAATAATCTACATTTAATATCTAACATGGTACTCATTTACTTACTTCTCACGCTTTACTGACTCAATATTCAGCTGCAGACGGTCATTGAGGAACTCTATAACTCCGTTCTGTTCCATTAATAATGGTACATGGTATATGGAGCTAAGATCATGAATGCATATAACCTGATCTGGCGCTACATGACAAAAATTACTAATTTTTTCCTTCACTTCGAGACCGATTGGTTTCTCCGACCGACAAACTATTAAATCAGGGCTCAAACCAAAACCACGCAACTCACGTACAGAACTTTGTGTTGGTTTTGTTTTCGGTTCACCAGTGGAACGTGGTGAGGGTACAAGTGAGACGTGCGCTACACAGAAATTTTCACGTTTTACGCGAAATTGAAATTGGCGAAAAGCTTCCACGAAAGGCATACCCTCAATGTCACCGATTGTGCCACCCAATTCTATAATACATACTTGCGGCTGTGAGTCGCCTTGTACTGGCCGTTGAGACACGCGTTCTACCCACTCTTGGATGGCGTCGGTAATATGTGGAACAACTAGAAATGCAATTTAATAATTATTAAATTTATGAATGAATACCTTATATAAAAACTGTGAATAATTACCTTGTACAGTTTTGCCCAAATATTCACCAGTACGTTCTTTCTCAATAACTTTCTGATAAATCTTACCAGTTGTTATATTATTGTCGCGATGCAAAGTTATATCCAAAAATCGCTCATAATTGCCCAAATCCAAGTCGACCTCACCGCCATCATCCAGGACATACACCTCACCTGGGAGGAAAAAAGAAAATATTAATTTAAAAAAAATTATTAGAGTACATTTGAGGTTTAGATAAATATTAGTTGCATGTATGTATCATCGAATCCATATTGACAGCATCGTAAAATACTTCTTCCTCCACCAAAACTCTCTTTCATTTCATCATATTTTAGTCAGCACTTACCTCACCAAAAGACCTTCAACTACTGTTCGATATTCAACGTGTGAAAATATTTAATAACCCACATTTCTTTGCACAAATTCATGTTTTATTTCTGGCTTAAGCAAATAACGTTCGAAAACGTTAATACTAGATTTTTAGATTGAGCTCCCCATGGTGGGGATGCCACACATTGTAGAATTATCTGTTTTTGTATGTATGTAGGTACACTTACAACTAAGTAATACATCCAAGTATTCATATATGTATATATACAGTCTTATATAGTGAGCTTTAAAGTTACAAAACTAAAAAGAAAGAAGTCGTCTTCACAATTTTCAATTAAATGAGCAACTAATTCTGTTATGACTATAAACAACAACGCTACGGTTTATTTGGTTTCTTCCAAATCCTCTTTGTAGAGTTCCTTGAATATTAACTTTTGAATTTTGGTGCGAATGCGCAGCTTCTGTGCCGCTGTCAGCTGCTTCATATATGGATGCAAACTCAGCAGGTAATGATAATCGTCATCCTCTGGCACAATCGGCGCAGTATTGTCCATCGTTGATGAACCATTAAAATTGCTATCCTCCGACAAACGCGGACGTTTCAACTTTAGAGCCGGTATTAAACCATTCGCATATGAGTGCTTGGTGAAATTCAAGTGTTCGTGGCTGCCGTGTAAACAACTGCTGCTGCCATTTAAAGAGAACTCATCGCGCTCATTATTTAGTGCTGCGGCCACAGCTGTGGTAAGTGCGGATGCGGCGGCTGTTGTTGTAGGGGGTGGATGGTGTGCTTTATTGTACAGTGGGGGCGGTGAAACAGAGCGTTTTTTGTGTTGTTGTGTCGCGGCTGCCATCGAATTGGTCGTCACACTTGCTGCGCTGACTATACTGGAGTTGGGTGTTGAGGGTGGTGTAATGGAGGTGGTTGTTTGTGCAATGGTGGTAATTATGTTGCCCATGCAAGCGCTCAGCAAAGAGGGCGAGCTGCCGTTGCTAGTCAACAAGGTGTTGTTGCAATTTTTATTCACGCTATTATTATTATTGTTAGCTTCCATGGATTTCTTGGACAAATCTTGTGCCTCCTTCTCGTCGTCATCATCTAAAAGGTGTGCAGCTCGTAGTAGTACGCCAGCGTTTTTTAGAATTGAGCGGGCATCCTCGGTTTTTATGGAAGTCACAGTTTGTGTATGAGCAGCTGGTGGCGTTGGTATTGCCACGTCATCATCATCCTCATCAGCATCGTCCTCATCGAACTCTTCATCACTGTCCTGCATGCGACGTATGAGCCCATTGGTGAGGTCAGGTTCAACCACAGTCTTCTCACAATCTTGACTTTGTTGCGTAAAGTAGTAAGACTGATCCGGCTCACTTTTGGGCATGCGATGACGCATATGATCAGCTGTAAAAGCGAATTACTTTTGAGTGTGCACTAAAAATGAGTTAAAGGCGAAAACAGAGAAGCAGCAATAAACAGTAAGCTTATGTGGATACAGGTGTTGTTCACAACCAAAAGTTTTATATTGCAAGAAATTTAAAAATAAATAAGAAAATTCCACATTTTACTGTTCAACTGCTTAACACTATCCTCTGTTGTTATCACAAAACAAGTCAATTCAATCAATTTGAAATTATTTTAAAAACTCACTCAAAAACAGCAAAGCATAATAGTGTAGCCATTTCGATTCAAATGTGGCGGGTTCCACTAGGAAATCACCTTGTTCCGAGCGTGGAATGCGTTTATATTCTACACGAAAATTATCACGCAAACCCTTCCATTTAGCCTTGAGCACCACTTCTATAGCAGCGAACCGGTAATTGCAGAAGCCACACGAGATGTGAAAGAACGCACAACGTGAAACAAACAAAATACAAGCAAATCAGCGACGAAAGAAACTAAGTAAGTCCAAAGTCAAAAACCAAAACAAGCATAGAAAAATGTGCTTATTCGGCAAATAGTAACCAAATACTCACTGGGCAATTTATGTGCGCTAGACAACTCATCCCACATTTGTTCTAGAAATGCTTTGTTGCAATGAAAATTACGATTCCAAATGGCAGGCCGTTCTTGAACGTCGCGTATAAATTGTTCAACGTTCAGGACGATTGTAGACTTCTTTGGTGCCATGAGTAAAGGGCCGTTTTGTGACGCCAGTTTTAAACGTTGATTCGTTTTGCACTTCGTTACCCTACAATCCAAGTAAATCGAAAGTTAAGCTTTATACTAACAAGTTGGCTGAGACGCGCGCGTCGATTCGTTTATTACTGCTGACTGATTGAAACGTTCATTTCCGACTGATTGCTGAGCTGCCTAACTGCCTCTCTGAACGGCCAGTTAGCTAGAAGGCTGGATGGTACAACGGCATATAGGATCGATGGAGTGGGGTAGAACAATATGCATAAGTGAACAGTGAACAGTGAGCGTGTGAGCGCAGCGACGTCAATGATGAACAACAACCACGAAGAATATGACTGCTGCCTGCTAACTACATCCCGGCCGCAAGCACTGCGCTCGAATTGAAAGCAAAATGTCGGCAGCGATTTTTCAAAAACAAAATCAAGTGGGAAAATAATAAAATCAAACAAAACCTTACCAACCTGCGAATAGCGCAACGCATGAAAGAAGGACCGTATACAAGCAAGACAAAGTAGCAGTAAACGCTGCCGACGACCAGACAGGCACACACAAGCCGACAATAAAAAGGCGAAATGCTGATGAAAGCGGCAGGGGAGCCAAAGCCGCTTAGGTCGCTGAATCGCTAACTGTCTGCCGGTTGGACAGACGTGCACCGCCAAACGGAGGTTTTGCCAAGCAAAGCGAATTATATCGGCTGGCCACACAGTCCTACAGTCAGACGGTTAGCGAGCGAAGGCAACACTTAGCTGTAGATTGGTGTATGGCAAATAGCACGATAGTGCGAACGACAAGCGTACACACATAATGACACCCTTCTTGTACGTTTCCCTACATAAATACGTATGTACATACGTAAGCGCTATATGTGTGCATGTTGACACACAACGAAAAATTGGAGTACCAGCCGCCGGGTCGCGAAGAGCAAAAAAGAAACGGTGAATCGGACGTCGGAACTGAGGACGGCGATAATGATGATGGCGTTTGCTGCGCGCAGAGCGCTAAGTAAGCAAAGTGACTGCGACGACGATAACGACGCCTAGTTGCGCGCCAAAGAACAGATGCAGCTGGCGAATAATTTGACACGTTCATCGCGATGTAGGCGACGACAGTGAATGTGTTGAATAAGGAGGCGAAGGCGAGATGAAAGAAGCCACAACAAAAGCGCACGACACGCTTCAATGCAGAGAATCGACAAGGCCTAAAACGAACATGTGAATGGCTTAACGGGGGGTAGTAAGGGGAATTTGAACAGGACAACGATTGACTGTTGGGTGGACCACTTTTGCAAAAGTAATTTCATACTACAACACGGCACACAAAATTCTGCAAAGATTTATGTATGCATATGTATGTACTATACATACATGCATAAGTATATACTTACTATATGCTGTTATTCATACTAACATAAACCATCTGAAAAGCGCCAAATAACTTAAAACGCTTAGGTAAATTGGCACAAGATACTCGCCAAATTAAACACAAATTTATTAAAAAAAAAACAACAACTCCTTGAATATGTCGCTTGCATATCAGCGAATGCAGATGGCAAGGCAAAGTGGACCAATTGGAAGCATTTTTGGCACAAAATTTGGCTCAACAAACCGTCAGAGTTTACAATTTACATGAGATATACTATTACTAAATAAGAGGTGCGTTGTAAATCATTGATATTTGATATACGGGGGATGGAAAAAGAAGGTATAAACACTGATTTTTTTTTCAATACACCCAAAATATTTGTTATATTGCATCATGTCCAGTAATCGCCACGCAGTTGCTAAGAAAATCGCGCATCACAAATGAAGTTCATGCTTTTTGCCAAGGATATGGAGCGATGGCGGGAGTCAGATTGAACTCAGAACTTGTTATTAGTTGTTTTATTAATTTATACCAAGTTTGCATTAAATTCAGATATTATTACAAATAAGATAGCTATTATACCAAAAATATAATACATATGTATGTATATTTTCCTACATGTTTAAAGATGATGCGCTTGTATTTTCGATGAAAGGGAAGAAATTATTTATAATTAAACTTTTCGGTTATAATTATAAATTTTTGTCTTTATACATACATATGTTCACAAAAACAAAACATCATACTGTGAAAGTAAACTTTACGTAAAAGTGTTCTGCGCGGTCAAATTATAATATTATATAAAAGGCATAATTTTGAATTGTTGTTTGGAGTTGCATACCAGCTTTATATATGTAAATACTGTAGTCATATTGCATAGATACCCTGCTTGGTAGTATCTAAATCAGTAGTATTATTTTTACTTTCGATTTCTAGACAATGTGCCAGCGGACGCCAAGAATAGCGTCTGGACGAACGCAGTAGTCAACCTTAGCGAATATTACGCATTTCTGAGCGTAGAACTGTTCTAGGTAAATATGTAAGTTTCTATAGTGTGCAGATGAAAGCACTTAAGATGTGTAGGAAAGGCCATATCACCTTCCATTACCTTAACATGCAAGTGCGCATATACATATATATGTGCATATGCCGTTAGAAGACCATATCCAATGGGACTGGAGAAGTCAGGAGGGTGCCGAATAAAAAAAGCAATACCAATCCCCATTCTTCAAAAATATTATACATACAGTACATATATGAATGTACATACATATGTATGTCCACAAGCATCAAATGTATGTATGTATGTATATAAGACTGGATATGCCGACACCCGCAGCTGTACAATTTACTCGCTTGCTGGAGACAAGCAATGCCGCCAACAACGAACACATCATCGTTGCCATACATACTGGTGATACTAAAAGCAATATTAGTACCGTAACTACCACAAACGCACCAGCCTTCACTGCCCCTCGAAAACACAGAAAACAACACCAAGGCTAGCGAAGCGTCAAAGCCAATGCAGCATAGTGAAGGTGAATGGTCTCCCGTTATTGGCGACGAAGGCTTCAAACAGCAGTAATTGCAGCTGTCGCGTTCCTGCGCCCCAACAACACAGATATATTCAAGTTAGCTAGTCGATCGAAGCGCCGCATGTGTCTGCGCTCAGGCCTCCATCCATTGCTTCATCCATCTACAGATGCAAGTATGTGTGTATGAATATACACAGTCCTATCCGAAGTTAGCGTTATGCGTTGCACGCGCTTTTTGACCGTTGTTGCTTTTGTTATGCTGTCGTTATTGCTTTTGTTGGGATCCGTGTATACCGTTGATGGGTTTTGCTGTCGTTAGTCGTTGCTGAGTTTATGTGCCGTTTCTGACTGTTTGCTGCTGACTCAGTTACCACTATTTCGCGCTCCTTTCCTACTGTCACTTTTGTTGCTTACATGATGTTGTACGTAACATAGCTGTTGTTGTTGGTCTTCGCCGTGGTGGTGAAGTATCTTTGTCGTATTCCACACTCCATAAGCGATTCGCAAATTTTCCATGCCCTTTTGCAATATTTTCTACCCCACCTCACGTCGCGACCCTGAAAACGGCCGACACCACAACCGCCGACACCACCATCAACACACTTCCGTCTACCGCGCTACACTTTGCTTTCCTTCAATTTCCTTTGCTTTTTCGGTCTGTCCACGCAAAGTCGCGGCGTCAGTTTGGCACTTTGTTTGGTAGCTTTGCGAATGATGAAGGCGGCGTTGATCGCGTGTGTTGTCGCTGGCGCTGGCGGCTGTACGTGCCGTGAACAAAAGTTCACTTCGACTGCCAGATTGCCGTTGTCGTTAATATTATGTTATTATTGTTGTTGTCGTTGTTGTTCTCGTCGTCGCCATCACCTTCGTCTTCGTCGCTGCCGATGTCGTTTTTATTGTTATTGTTTATTTTTTGTGACTTTTATTTCTCGCGCTATAGCGACAGCAGGAAATACCTCGCCGCTTTCACACTCGTTCGCATCCAAACACATAACAACAGCAACAACGGCGCACACGCTGTCGCTTCGCCTTTATGGCGGCTCAACAAGCAAATGGATATGTGCAAAAGCACTAGCGCGCAAAACTCAAAAGCGAAAATAAGCTGAAAACGCAGAGCATAGAAAAAGTTGAAAAAAAAAATTAAAGCAGAAATGCCGCAGTCTGGCACCGGAGGCGCATACTGAAATCAAACCAAAGTAAATTACTCCCGGCATGACGCAGCCACACAGTGAAGTATCAAAGGTACATGCATACACAACACACGCATTTCTCGAAGGCTTGCTGTGTACCGTATGTATAGCTGTGAAGTTGTGTAGAAAAGTGTGGGAGCTTGCGATAAGACTGAGCAAACTGAAAGGAAACCAGAAGGTTGCGACGCACAGGTAATTCGCGGCCAAGCAAGTACACGTTGGCAAGCGTTCATTTGGGCATTCACAGCGGAATGTACTAACAAAAACAACCAGAATGGCGTCGTCATCGGCTGTGACCAAATGCCCAGCAAGTAATAGGTATTGCGTCGCAATGCCGACAAAAAGCTAAGCAGGTTCTTTCTACCCAACATTTCATCAACTAAAGAGCATAAACAAATTAAAATAAAAGAAAAAACCACACTAACACCGCAGCGCATATCGACGCACACAACAACGTCAAAGGAAGCGCTATAAAATTTTACAAACTTGCAACAGTTGCAAATTAGAGATCTGTGCCATCTTAAGTAAAAATAAAAGAATAAACATGTTCGAAAAAATATCTAGAAAGACGATTGAACGGATATTAAAAGATGTTGCACTTATAAACATTCGCTCCAAAACTATTGTATATAGTTATGTACATATGTATATATATATATTATTATTTATTAATCATCACTCCACAGTACCGTGAGTGAGGGTCATTCAAAATTTGCTCAACCCGCAATAAAATATAACGTATTTTATCGTGGACTTAATAGAAATTAAATTTTGGCATTCGAATTCTTTTTGTAAGATACTTAGTTTGTATAACTCTTTCAAAAATTTAAGGATTTAAATTTGATATTCAACCTCACTCTTTATTCCAGTTGAATAAAATTTGTTAGGAGAAAATCCCTATTTTGAGAACTTTATTACGCGAGGGTTCAGCTACTGGTTGGAGATTTTGAACGACCGGAATCACTCAACTATTCACTTTTATAAACGTTCTTAGTACTTAAGAAAAAGTAATCCACCAATAAAAAATAGGAGAAATTGAGATTTGTTTTTGATGGGATCTACTCGTAATAAGACGACTTAACGACGGATAATTAGATTACAAGTGCTGAACAATGTTACCGACCTCATAAGTTTTATTTACACATGCATACATATGAATATATGTATATGTATTAGATTCTACTGCTTTCTCAAAGCCTCTTGTAGCACTTACTGTGAATATTAACTATCTCCATTAAATCGAAATTATGAGGTCAGTAAACTTATTTTAGAGAATTGTTTGTGTTCCGACAATTGTAGGTTCTATTAATTAGAACGGACCCAGCTTGTCGTTCGGTAGCTTCCTATAAAATATTTGTGAAATGTTTTTATTTCTTCTTTTTTCACAACCACTAGGCCTCTACTGGGCTGTTAAAGGTCCATCTGATTATGTTGGATCGTAATAGATTTCTTTTGATCTAAGTTATTTCTTGGCAACAGGAGGCTTTGTTATCCTTAAAATTTTGAAATATGAAATCAACCGAACCAACACAAATCCATATGTAAGTATGTATGTGCGTATGAATAATAAGAGCGAAAATTGCTGTAAAGTAATCATAGAAACAATATTGTGGCAAGTGCATGCCAACTGAAGAGCCCAGGGGGAGGTGCAGTTAAACAAACGTAGTAATCAACGGCACCGCCATGTAACAATACAATAGGCAGGAAAGATACATGCATATATTTAAATATATATGTATAAATGTATACATGCGGTTCCAGCATATAGTTTATACATATGTATATACTGCCGTGGTATGATATATGGTGAAAGGAAGTCGGGCTACCAAGCAGACAGGGAGGTGGCCGTTGCGCGTGCACGCGTTGGTGGCGGTTATGCAGGCGTCGCATGAAATATAAAATCAATAAAACACACGCGCGCAGCACACAAAAGCAAAAGGACCCGTCAGTACCACGAGCTACTGGCAAAAAGTAGTAGCCCTTGCTACAACATCACTACGTGCTGATTACGATGATAAAAGTGTCGGCGACGGGTGACAGCATGACTTTGGAACAGGTGATGGTGCGCGAACCGTGGGTGTACATGGTGGGGACGCGCAACGCCTCAATCAAGTCAGCTAACTAACGAATCAGTACGCAAGCAAATAACTGGCTAACAACCAATGAATATATTCCTATGAATTCCAGTTGGACTCGGAACGATGTAGCAACGTTAACGATGGTGACACGCTCACACGCGCAAACACACACAGAACACAAAATAGACTTGAATTGCGCGTCCACGTCGCGTTATCACGTGTTAAAATATACACACTTCCACTGCTGATTGCAGTCGGCTCACAACTGAATTGAAAATTCAGCTGAGCAGAGTCACACACCAGCCAGCCAGCCAGCCAGCAAGGCAGCCAACACATTCGACCATGCGGCTGCAGGCAGAAAGTCAGCGAGGCAGTTGGGCAGGCGTTGAATTAGCAGCAAACAGCAAGCAGTAGCGTGTGGAAGCACATTTGTGAAACGCAAACGCTTTTGCCTCCTCCTTGCACGCCAGCAACAGCACCAACGCTACCAACGTCAGCTCCAGCCAGACAGTCAACAGCCGCCATAAGGCTACGTCGCCACCAGAACCAAACCTTGCGCCTGCCTGACGATGACGACAATGATGATGATGATGACGACGCAGACGAGAGAGGTGAAGCCCGCGGCGCGACATGTTGAGAAGGGTAGACGCGAATGGCGTGTATTTGCGCGCTTTGAACGCTAGGCTTGTGCGGCTAGTGAGCATACAATTTGGGCTTTTCAAATGGAGCGCATACCACTCATATACATATACATACATACATATGTACATCGACAACGGTGCCAACAACAATGACGAGCATAACAAAACAACAAAACCGCAGCACACGGCTCACCGCGGATTGCACACAGCAACACAGTACCAGCCGCAACGGTGCGGCGTTTGTTGTTATTTTTGTTTTAGTTACTGCCATTACACTGCTGCTGCTGCTGCTACTGCTCACAACGCCACGATAATGATGACGCTAACGCAATGAGGATGGATGGCTGTTGACTGGCTGTTTGGCTCCACGGAATAGAGTGCGGGGTGATTGCCGAGACAAAAGTTGACGCAGCACAACAACAGCAACTAGTCAAAGAGGGGACGCTGCTGACTGACTGGCACAGCGCGCGGCTGTTCGCCAGACCAAACAAGGCCGAGCCGTGAGGGGTAGAACTCGGCCACCGTGTGCGCGCACACTGAAATTCGCCAAGCGCAAATTTCAAAAGCGAATGAAATGGAAGCAAAACAAAGTGAAAACAAGCAACCGCCAGCAATGGAGGCTCAGCATAAAAAATCGAAAAAACAAGCAGTTGGCGCGACGACACAGCACGCTCCGGCTCGATGGCTGGCTAGCTGGTTGCATGGCTCGTCGGTTGGTTGGCTGACAAAATCATTCCAAATGACGGTTGGCAGGCTGGCACTGGCGAGCGAAAAATAAACTCAACAAAGCAAAAAAGAAATTAGTGCCGCAGCAGCGCACTACCGCAACGCAATAGCAGACAAAAACAAAAACAAAAAAACTAAAAGCTCCCAATGGAAACGAAAAAAATCAGCAAACAAAGTGAGCGGACAGGCAAGTAAAAAATGCTAGAGCAAGAGTGTGCGTCTTTGAGTGGCGCTGTGGCAGGGTAGGTGCGCACCAATGTGGCGAAAAAGTGAAGCAAAAAGAGTAAAAGGTAAAAACACAAATGCAATGAAGTGACAAAAAAGTCAAAGACAAAGAAAAACGCGGGAGACAGCAAAATTAAAACGCTTTGGCGACTGTTGGGCAGCTAACTGCCGGTGTTGGCAATCACCAGCAAGCGCAGTAGTGGCGTTTTTCGTGACGTTATCGACATACACACCCATTCAAACAGCACAGAATTTATGTGCGATCCAACGGAACGACAAAGAAGAAGCACGCAAAAGGAAATTACTACGACGTCGCCGCCAATAGCGAGGTGATGGCGACGAATCAACGCGAAAATTGCCCAGCAAGCCGACTGTCCATTAGGCAAATAAGAAATAAAAGTAAAAAGAGCAACGCAACGACCTAACTGAATGGTTGACTGCCTAGCTGGCTCGCTGGCTTGGTGGCCTACCGACTGGTTCATTGGCGGCGCAAGCAAGCGACGACTTCAATGGCACATTATTCTTATTTGCCAATAAGCGACTGAATGTAAATAAGAGTGGCGGTGTATGCACATCTATGTGCGAATGTCTGTATGCATATGTGTACAAATGCCATATATGTATGTATTTAATGACTAGCACGCAAGCAGGAGAGCAGTGGCGGCTACTTGAGCAGCGTTCGCAATGGTGCGGCAATTGGTGATGATGACAATGACGATGGTAAATAACGCTTGGCAACGCGCAACAGCAGAAATACCAACAACGTGAAGCGAACGAACAATAACCAGCATTAAAACTGCTGTGGCAGCGACGGCTGGCCAAGCTTGTTGGCAAAGCCATCTCAAAGCAACAGAGCGGCAACGCGGCACGTATTTTCGCCAGCGCAAGCAGTCAGCCGAAGGAAGTTGTGTGCAATGTGCATACGCGAGGGGTTTGGATGACGTGCATATGAAAGAGTAGCAAGCAAAAGCGCTGTGAAAAAGGAAAACAGAAACGCGAAAAGCTTTTCGCAGTCAAAAATGGAGGAGGGGAACAACACATGACCGCATGGGCACATGACGAACAGGCAGACGGATAAGCAGAATGTGGGGAACGGCTGCCGCAGCCACGGCGTGCAAATTACGGTTGACGACGGCACACCAATAATCACAGCAACACAAATGGCCTCGTTGTTCCGAGCAGGGTGATCTAAGCTAAGGCTGCGTTGGCCGAGGGAAACAAGGGTTGAGACGCAATTACTGAAGCCTAACCGCACAGAAATGTTGTTCCTGACTATGGCGGCTATAGCTGAGACTGGTGGTGGCTAGTATCGTTCTGGCCGCAACGTTGCCAAATGGTTGACAGTAAAAATGCGTTGAGTTTTGCTGTTGAGCAGAAAAACGGGGCGCATAAAATCGCAAAACGTAATTCAGTTTCTTTCTATTTTTGTAATTTTTATGATTATTATGTTTTTTTTTTACTTAAACATTCCCTTTTTGCACACATACAGCTGCGAGCAGTGAAATAGTAGTGGGTGTTTTACATACCTATGAGTTAGGCAAAATTCTAAACAATTTTAACATCAATTGAAACGGAAAAGTTTATCATATTTCCTTGGCTACGTTTATTAATATAAATATTTTTATTTGAATGGGTGTAAGATATATTTATCCACAAAGTTGTGTTTATATATGAAATTTGATGGGAGCAGTAAAATAGTAGTAAAGTAATAAATTTTTGTTTCTTTTAAACTGAAGGATTTTTGTAAGTTCCATCTATACGAGATATTAGTACTTGGTAGCATGGCCATGATTTTTAATAACAGCAATATAACGCCTCTTCATAGAATCTACGAGACTCTGGCATCTTTTTAGTGGTATGTTCTACCATGCTTGCTGCACTACGGTCCACAACTCATTGTTGTTTTTTTGTTTGTCATTCCATACGGCTTTCTTAACGTCTGCCCATAGGTTTTCAATGGGATTGAGATCAGGGGATTGAGCTGGCCAATCCATGACGTCAATTCCATTGACCCGAAACCACTCCTTTGCCACCCTACTGGTATGCTTCGGGTCATTATTCTGCTGAAGTATCCTTTTCAGCGGGATGTCCTCTTCAGCAAATGGTATCATAATAGCCTGCATTATATCCACGAATTTGTGTCGGTCCGTTATGCTAGCAATCTTGTGAATTGGGACTGCACAAAAAAATTGGGCCTGTAAGAAAAACACACCAAACCATGAAATTCAAACCGCCAAGCTTCATAGTTTTTGTGCTGAATCTGGGGTGTACTCTCTATTAAGGGAGCGTCTTAGATACTGAAGGGACCCTTTACCGCCGTATAGAATAACTTTCGACACGTCTGTCCACAAGATGTTGTAGAAGTCTTCTCACTGTATGAACACCGTAGGCCAGGTTCAGTTCATTCCGAATCTCCATAGCTGACATTCTAGGTCGAGTCTTGGCCCATCTTACAACTATTGGTGTAAAATTCTCGGAAAGAATCCATATTGCGCCCCTTTTTTGAGTTGTTGTGGCTTAACACCCTACAATTCTTTCCACTCCCTTGTAGGATTTACGTTGGATTGAATACATTCTCGTTTTTCGTCACTGCAGTGCTTCCCGCGGCCTAAAAACAGTGCAAAGTCATATTTTTTTTTGCTTTTTGCATTGAATAATTATTAAAAGATCTGGAAACTTACTTTTTGTTTGATAAAATTAAATTTTTTTTATTAAAAATTATCTGTTTGCAATCATCTCATCGTTCACTAATATTCTATTGCTCGCTCATAAAAACAGATATCCCAATAAAATTGGCTTTAAAAAAGTAACGGCAAGTAATTCACAATTATTGTTGTATATAACAGGGCCGTTATACTTCAGAGAATATAACTAAAATAATGATCGGCAATATCATAAAAGAAGCAAAACTCTCTTGGCTAATAGGCACTACTATTTCAATGCTCGCAACTGTACATATGTACATATGTTACAGCTGACATTCTCGCACAACACAATCGACAGCAGCCAAACGCGCTACTGATAAACCTGTGGGGGGGTATATAGCGAAAGCGTATTACACACGACCATGGCATATGAATGTATGTATGTATGTATGCATTGAAATGCACACACGCAATATTAAAACAGCGCTCGCAGCAGAAGCCAACCAGCCATTAAGCTGTCTCTTATACACATCTAGATGTGTATAAGAGACAGACACACGACCATGGCATATGAATGTATGTATGTATGTATGCATTGAAATGCACACACGCAATATTAAAACAGCGCTCGCAGCAGAAGCCAACCAGCCATTAAGAGCGAAACGAAGCAAAAATGCTATAGTTGTGGGGCATGATGAAGTAGATGGAGTGACCGGTCAGCCTGTCACTGGATGAAAGTAGGATCCGATGGGTGTTGTTTTTATTGTAATCGCACATTGTATATTACTGACTAGCAACGTGATGATGGTGATGGTGATTACGATGATGAAGTAGCAGCA